TGGAAGTTCATTTAGCATCTGGAACAAAATCCTGGCCCGGGAGATCTTCCCATGTTTTTGGGACTCCCCGCACATATTTAGTTGGCCTGCAATTTTGTCACGTGCTCCGTCCATCCATTTTTGAAATTCATCGAAATGCCCCTTACAGAATCTCTCTGTGCTGAGCGGATCGGGAAAACAGGTGCTCACCGAGCACCATCAGTAGTGGCGGTGGCCTCTGGTGCAGTCTTTATGCAATGGCCAAAAAAGTTAAGAATCTACACTAATAGACATTTCTTTGCACAATCGGAAATTCTCACACAATTTGAGATTAGAGCAGCATACCACCATGAAAACCTAAGTTTTCATAGTAGGTTCTTGCTTACAAAAAGTTCATGTCTTTGAACCAGTTAGTCTCTAAGCAGCAGTTCCCAAACTGCAGGTATGACCTCAAATGGGGTCACATCAATGGACTGGGTCATGGGGACTGTGGGTTGGGAGTGAAGGGCCATGCTGAGGAAATGGGGCCATACATAGGGTTATGCTGAGTAAAGTTTGGGAAGCACTGCTCTAAAGTGACCACTCTACCCTGCTTTCTGCCTAATTTAAGACTAAAATGTATCTTCAGATTATGAAAACCCATGACAGAAAATGGAAAATATGACTGATCTAGGTGCATTCGTTTCTCACTGCCCTGATGGTTTATAGTGGAGCTACATGTCCCCCACCCCCAACTGTTTTCCAGGTTACAGGCACCAGTCCTTTTGCTTGGAGGTCTGATAGGCACTCACAATCTGCCTTCTCTGTCAAGTGCTCCTGCCCAAAGCAGTGGTCTGGTCTCTTCCGTTCCCTCTGTAGGTAAAATTTCCCCTTTAAACATGTGTGTGCAGAATCCTGGCTCTCAGTTTCTGTCTTTTGCTACTCTGGGTATGATGTGATGAGTTAAAGAATTTAGATTAAAAAGTTCTGGAAGGCCTTTTACACCTATAAATCAAGTCAAGTCAGTCCTGAGGCTGCTGTAACTATTGGGGCACTTTAGATGCTGTAACAACCCTCCTAGATTAATTGAGTTGCTTTGCATCATTGGTGATTTTTTTAGGAGACACCTATGTATATACACAGAATTGTATCTTGGCCACTTCTTATAGTAGATATTCTTTAACAGACAAAAATATGACAACTGTAGTGTATTAGCATGAGATATACAATGCATTCCAGCAAATCATGGATTGGACAAACCCAATTTTTCAGCAGGAGATTTATTGCATGGGAGAATATCCATTTTTTTCTTCAAAGTACTGCAGAACAGTTCATGAGTATAATCAAAAAATAGCTTCTATTAAAAATGACAGTCAAAAGAAAAGTTTAATTACATATAATACAGATTACCATCTTGTATTTAAGCAAAGCAGCACAATAATGCTCAGTTTTGTCTTCACAGTTAATGAACATTGCTTCCCCCATTTAAAGCTTCAGAAGCTCAAAACCTCTAATCAGAGCTCATACAATGAGTAGGACAGTTTTATTGGATGATCCTTTTCCAAAGAGAAGTTGGTTTACCCTTGGAACATTCTTTAAATTTCCATCCTTCTACCACATCAAGTAGTCACACTCAAATTCATTCCACTGTTTGGAACTGGAATTATTTTTTAGGTCCCAATCCAGCATTGAATTTAAGAGGCTTCAGATCATGCCCTGTATAAACTGTCCATTTAATGACTTTAGCCACAGTCAGAACAGCACTTGGGCAGAGCGTAGTCATGTTCTGCTTCAGGACATTGCACAAAGTGGATGGACTTTACTCTTATGTTTAAATGCACTACTGAACTGGAGCTTAAATTCAAATACTGGATACCTATATGCGCATGTACACACTATTATTGCCATTAATTCTCTGCCAGTTTAATTTATGAACTTGCGCTTATTTTGTTTTCTGTAAGTATACAACAAAGCATCTGAACACAGTGGTAGCAGCTTTCAATCAGTCATCTCATTGGCATTGAAAGCTTTATTTTGAAAACTTTAAGCAGCAATACTGAATAAATAAATGGTCAGAATGATTGTTTTGTTGTCTACATACAGCTGATGGCCTTCATCCAAAACATTAAAATACTGTAGCAAATAGAATAAACATGCATTTCAATGTTCTAAAAACGGCATAATATAAAAGTAACACTTTGACACTTATTTTAATATAGTACAGCCTATTAGACTCTTTTTTGGAAAAAACTCTGAATACAGTTTTACTATTTACATTATTAATTAAGGCCCAATTCACTCAAGGTAATGCACATTGGGAATCTATATATTTCAAGATAATTCACAAAAAAAAAAAAAAAAAAAAAAAAAAAAAAAAATAAAAAAAAAAAAAAAAAAAAAAATAAAAAAAAAAAAAAAAAAAAAAATAAAAAAAAAAAAAAAAAAAAAAATAAAAAAAAAAAAAAAAAAAAAAATAAAAAAAAAAAAAAAAAAAAAAATAAAAAAAAAAAAAAAAAAAAAAATAAAAAAAAAAAAAAAAAAAAAAAAAATCAAAAAAAAAAATCATAGGATCAATTTGTTGTTCATACTCGTATAATCCCAGTTCACTGCAGTAAAGCAATACTTAGTGTACTAGAAAGGTGGAGGCAGTCAGAGTCCCAAGTAGAGGTTTTCATTCCTCTACAGACCTTTCTACACTTTTTCACAAAGAAAGTGCATATTTACAGATTATTTATGTTTGTGATAGTAATGGCATATACTGTCTCCTTAAAGCACTTGTTTTCCATTTTCACAGTATAGTAAAATTTTGAAGTCTAAGTTCAACAGTCAAAAATAACTTGGGCACTTTGGAGCTTAAGTCGCAATGGGCATCTCTACACAAGCAGCAAGGCCGTTCCAATGCACTGTAATTCCAGCGCGTTGGAGCAGGCTCAATTAATCAAGTCTGCTGTAGCATGGTAATTACCACGCTCCAGCAGACTCCAGCATTTTGTGTATCAGCGTCCCTGTGCTTAAAAATAGCAGCGGGGGCACTTTAACTAAAGCTCGAATGAGAGAGACATTCCAGGTGCTTTAAACCAGCTCTTGGAGCCACTCTGATTAAAGCGCGCCTCCCTCCACCCCACTACCAGAGCCCATGTATAAATGCCTATTGAAAGGTAGTAGGACTTAAGTGCCTAAGTCACCCTGGAAAAATTTTACCTTAAACCCTTGTCCATCTATTCTTTCATTAATCTCCCCTTCTGCAATTACAAGTGACACAACATGAAGGGGAATAATTGACTGTTTCCTCCTGGATGAGAATGTTATACAGTTAATTCCCATTAGGAATAACAGGAGCCAGCCATATAAATCCCCTGTGCACTGAGAGGAAAATAATGCTTGTGTACTAAATTAATTAATAACAATAAAAATCCATGCTTATTACGGTGGCTAGCATATAACTTGTTAAAATCAGTATATGTGTGCTCTGCATTCTACTAATGCCCCTTGAGCAGGTTTGAAAAAAGGCTTCTGGAAATGAAAGCATGATAAAAATATACATGTATAATAAAGCATGAGTTCTCCATGTTGATAGCTTTCCTTTGGATGCCGAGATTTTAAGTTTTTACTCGATTAGTCAATTCATGTTGTTTTTTAGCTCATCTACAAACAGGGCATACAAACTAGTATAGAAGACTTTTTGACTACATAAAAGCTCAACACATTAAAAGTATGGCCAAGAAAAGTGGATTGTCAGCTTTTATGCTCTTTTACTGCCTGGGTAGCAAAACATCTGGAGGCCCAAGTTCTCTCTTCACTTGGTTGGCTGAAGCTGCTCTGGTTGTCTTGTTGGTGTTCTTCAGCCCACACCTAGTGGGGCCACTAGTTGCAATGACATTTGTTTCTAAACCAATTAACTCCTTGACAGCTATCGTTACCTACCTATGCCAAATTTAAAACATTCATTTAGGGGGAAAGACTCCAAACGTTTACTGATGAATGCCCTGAATAGAAGGGAAAAGGGGGGGGGGTTTAAAACTCTTTTCCCCCAGAGCATAGAGGCAGAGGGAAGGAAGGAAGAGAGGGAGGAGAGAATGGCTCTTATTACTGTAAGACCTGCTCAAGCTCTCACTGAAATCAAAAGGAACCTAGGTCAGTCACTTACTGTATAATGGAAAATTTTGAGGATATGCTGTTCTGCCAGAAAAATACTTAATCTCAGGTCAAGGTTTGGATCAAACTTTTCTTTGTGAATAAGTAACATAGCCTCTTTGCCATGTAACACAACTTGAATCTGATTCTGCTCAAATCTGTCCTTTTTAAGGAGAGTAGAGAATACTAAGTATCCCATCCTCTGGGCTATTTTATTCCCTGTAAATTGGGCCCAGGAAGTAAGGCATATATGCTCAAGTGCTTTGGACAAAAAATAGGAGTCCTCAAATCATGTATGTATTATACTAATATATACATTCTCTTTTTAACATAAGAAAAGTTCTGAATAAAACAGAAGTGGAACACGGAATCATAATAACCTGTTATCAAAACCTGCAAGTGTTACAAAGATTCTTTAGGCTGGAGCAGTACATTTTCCAGTTTGTTCACAGGTGAAGAGTCCAGAGTGCTGAATTTTATTTTTCAGCTGAATCTATTTGGAAAAGTCTTTTATAATGTCACAATGCAATTTGAAATTGCTGTTAGTCTTAGTACAGCACCATTTCTAGTACATATGGTGCCATTAATAAGACAGGAAGGAAAATAATTGCATGTAATTCTTCAGAATTCTTCATCTTTACTGTGTTCTATAAAACTTTATCAGTGTGACTACATAGCTTTTTTTAAATAAGGAATTTGATTTAGCATTTGTCTGGACAAAAGAAATTGGGTTTCTAATTTGAATTTGGAAAATTTGAAATTTCTGAATTTTGAATTTAGTTAATCAAACTTGGCATTTTATTCATCAGTGACATGAGAAGGCAATATCTGGTGGCATTATACTATCCGGTAGACTCCAGGTTGTACAGATGGGATTCCTATTCAAGCCAAAGGTATTCGGTAACAACTCAGATACCTGCTGTATGAATCTGAGTGTAGGACCACAGCTTCATGTTGCAACCCATATATTATTTGGAAGTCTCATACCTATAATGCACTTACCTTTAAACGGTCTGGAGAGCTCCTTTGTTGACAGCTACTAAGATTTTTAGTTGTGTGCTAGATGAACTTAAAACATTGTAAAAATAAATGGAGTTTACTATTTAAATGTGTGAATTTCCTTCTTCATTCTCCCATCTGTAAGATTATGTATACTGAAATAAGTGTTGTGTAACTTGCTGACCTGACTAAACACATTCCAGGATGTTCTTGGGGGGGAGGGGAGGGGAGTTAAGAATCGAGAGAGAAATCCTGACTTCAGTGAAGCTGGTAGAAGTTCTGGTGCTGCCAGCTTCCATGGGACCAGGATTCTATACACTCATCATGCTTTGAGAGAATTTTTGTGAATTCCAGATTTTCTTTTTAGCAACAGCAAAACAAGAACCTTGTAATGGCAGGTGAGTGGGGAAAAAAAAAGAGTAAAAATAACACTGAAAATATAATAAACTCTTCTGGTAAGATATGATGAAGACTCCTTACTTACATTGTTTGCTTCTCAAAGGCATATACAACATGGCAAAATATCTGAAATAGGCATTCTATATAAAAAAAAAATATGGTCTAGCTAGTGCATCTTCAGTCATACACTGGATATAGTCATATCAAGCCAGGTATAAATTCCATAATCTTTTGAGGAATTAATAGTTCATTCAAAGCAGAAATCAATAGAAAATGAATCCTCCAAACTCAGTTTGGCCTTCAAAGATAGCAAAGGGCAGGATGTATCATAATCCACAATGTCAGCACACACAATCAATTGTTAAAGACCATCTTGGTGATACAGCACCTCCACAACACTCCTGTGGTTGAGACTTGATATATGATGAAATGCTGGATGCTTGCACAAGCAAAAAGAAAAAAAATATATATTTGTCAAACTTAGAAATACAACATTACACAATCAGTCACAAGTTAAAAACAATAAAAAAAAATAATAAAAGGTCAACATTCACACAGCCATTGATTAAACGGAATAAATTAAACCTTATATCCGTTGCATATGTGGTTTCCTTCACTCTGCTCAGTCAGTGTTTTATTTATGTGTATACATAGAATAATACTTTTCTAAATGCTTCTGAAGTAGCAGTAATAAAGCTTTTACACAATAAGTGTTGAACAGAAATGTCACCATCATCAACTGTGTATCAACATGGTTCCTTTGTTCTTTAACATATCAGTGCACAAGGGTATGGCTCCAAGTGGTGTGTAGAATGAAGAAACAATGTGGGGTGGCCCAACAGAAAGGAAAACCTTCTTCCATTCAGCATCGGTGAAATCAAAAAAATTATGTCCAGGGTACCTTTGTAGGTCCTCTCCAGAAGAGGTATCTACTGTTATACATAAATGCCCTCAGGGTTAAAACCAGATGACAGAGGATTCTGCAGAATACGAAGATTACTGGGGAGCTGCCTTGATGAACCAGGACGCTTCAGGGACCCAGACTGAAATGTCGTCTCTGCAAAGAAAAGATAAGTAGTATGATTTGTGCAAGAATGGAGAGTAATTTTAATAGAAAATGCTTGTTCCCCTTGCCCATTATAGGGCTTGAATTACATGTGCAAATAAAGAATTACACATGCAAATACATACATGTGACTACCACAGTTGAGATTTATGTACATAGCTCCTATCCATTTTAAAGGAAGTTGCACATCTAGCTTTCCTAGTTGACTAAATCAACCTATGTAAAGAGCTTGCAATGTACATGTCTCATACCTATGTGGACTTAGAAAAATGCATACTCAAAAGACCAAATTCCCTCTCCTCTGTAAAGAAATACCATGCTATCATTAGTAAATAGGGTTTCCACAGGAGCTGAAAATAAAGGCCTTGGAAAAGGTGCATTTCAGAAGAATATTCTGAAAAGTGGAATGAATGAGGCAAAATAAATGTCCAGAGGAAAACAATTCCTTATTTTGGGGGCTGTTCCATGAGAAGCTAACTTGTATGTGTGCATTAGCTTAAGAGGCAACTATGCTCGCAAGTTTGTGCTTGCACACATACACAGTAGTCTCTACTTCACTTTGTACTGTTGCACAGTAAATATATGAAGTTGTCACTTGATATTTAGTGCACAGTTTCTCAACCTGTGGTATGCGTACCCCTGGGGGTATGTGAAATACAGGCAAGGGGTACATGGGTATCCCAACATGCTCTCTCTCTCGCCCCTTCCTCCTCTCAAAACCATAGCAAAAAATTTGGTGCACCATGCATTGTGCAGCGCTTTAAATTCCCCAGTAATAATTTTGCATGCTGCACAAAGCCCTCCTAGCTTTGGCCAACATCATGTGTAACCCAGGTACATACCTGAGTTGTGCACCCCTGGTGTAAAAGATGGCAACCCTATCCACACCAGATCAGATATCTGTCATATCACAGCCTTATATACACAGCCGTTCTTCCAAGATATGGCACACACTAGTCTGTAAATATAAAATCCCCTGGAAAATTGAGTGTTGGGGTACTTATTAAAATTTTCAGAAGTTAGGGGGTACTTGCTATTTAAAAGGTTGAGAAACACTGCACTAGGGTGCCTATACACATTCTCTGGGGTGGGCGTAGGGGACATTTTAATTAGAGCAGCTGTTAGGAGTGTATCATGTATTCAGTGTCCCACATTTTAAAATGGTGCTTTAACTAAAGGTTGTCTGACAAGCTTCAGCTAAAGCGCCCCCACCACCATTCTGAAATGTGGGACACTGAATGCATAAGATGCTGGAGCGTTCCAATTAGAACACTCCAGCAGACTCAATTAATCCAGTCTGCTCCAATGTGTTCTAATCAGAACATGTGAGAACATGTATATAGGCACCTTTAGAGTAAAAGGAACAGATAAGCATGTTGCTTTTCTTAGAAAACTTCCAAGTCATACCTCTTTCAAGCTCCACATGTGAAGCATCTATTTCGATAGGGTCTGCGGGAAGCACTGTGACCTTTGTTCCTGTTTGCTGGATAAACTGCTGGAGATTTACTTGTCGCAGCTCCTTTGTCAGCTGTTCCAGTTCTTGCTCTCGGTCCTGAGCAGAGGAAGAGGGAAGAGAGTTCATTGTGACATAGTTTGAAACATACTTCTAAAATTCTACTTATCTGTGTGCCTGCAGCAAGTAACTTTTCCTCCTACTTTGACAGGTAACTAACTTGTTTTTAAGCTATTGTTCCTGTGAAAGAGCTGAAAGCTCATTTGCTTCATAGCCTGAAGAAGGTAAAATGATGCTGAGTATTACTTGTCAGTCATTAGCAGCTCTTTACATTGCTTGCCTGTTCTCTGTCAGATGTTTCTTGGGTCACCCGAGCAGAAGACTGGTACAAAAGATGCAAGCATAAACAAAATGTGATTCTGATAACGCCAGAAGCTAGTTTTCTTGTGTTTAAGACACCGGGTATTTAAAGACCTGGATCCATTTCTTGGCTCTGCTGTAGATTTCCTGTATAAACTTGAGCAAAAAAGCTGAATCTCTCTCTACCTCAGTTTCCCAGTGTAAACTAGGGATTATACTCTTTTCTCCCACCCTCTGTATTGTTGTTGAACTCTTCTAGGCCTCTCTTTCATCAGAGGAGTACATGGTGTTTAGCATAATTAAGTGCCAAATCTTGGCTGGGCCTCTGGCCACAACAGCAGTACAAAAATGGACAAAAAATTAGGGTCTCCTACAGGTCCTCTATTCATTTTGCTGTGGCCTGCTGAACCTATAGGCTCATTTCCTTAAATAAAGTCTTCTCACACCCACTTTGTTAAGGTGATGGATAAAGTGATCCCTTATACTATTATTCAAGGGGCAGGATGGAGCCTACAGGGATGGCCACACAAGGACACCCCATTAGTCCCTGCTGATGCTGGCTATCCAGATTATGGGTAACAGGGCTGTGACATCACTTTTGCTTAGTGGACAGAAACAGAGTAATATTAAGTCCATCCACTGGGCAAGACAGTGGGAATTAGCATAGCCAATGTGTCCCCTTTAATATATGCCAACTACAATGGTGCATTCTTTGGCAGAGATACCTTGTACAGGATCTTTCATCTGGTAGGAAAGGGTGATCCAGAAGGCCACCTGTGACGCAAAGCTATAACCTACTTCATGTTCTGCTACAGACAGTATATCAAGGCACGGCACCTCGGTTGGGGGTTGTGGCAAAACCATGACTGAGCTCTAAGCCAAACACAAAGCACCAAAGGAAGTCTGAACTTTGCCTCAATCAAATCTGAAGAGGGCACAAAGCCCACTTAAATTTCAACTATTCTGGCTCTACAGCTTGTGTACCAGAGATGCTCCATAAGTATATATAATGCAGCTTGACAGAACAAATAGCCCTAGAATCACATTCTGTTCTTTTAGAAAGACCTGCCAAAAAACTAGGATGGAAATACAGGGAATGAACCCATCCATAAATTCTATTAGTTTTAAGGGGAAAAAGCCCCAGATTTTTCCTAGAACTGCTCAGAATCTGTTTTATCTCAGCTAGTATGAACAGAGCATCAGATTCAAAAGTTAGGAAGTTCCGAAATTAAAAAAAATGTATTACTGTAGTGTCACCTCTACATGTGAATGTTTCATAGAACAGACTGAAGAGTAATATACACTGCAGCATTCATTTAACTGGAGCAGGATTAGAAGACCTTAAAAAAGGTGCAAGTTACAACATTTGCATTATAAAATGACTTCTGCTTTTGAAAATTCCTGAGTTCAAGTGTTGTAGGGTAAAAACTTTAAGTGTATATGCCCCACTGACCTAAGCTCTTGATTCATCTGCAACCTTGTAAAAATATTAGCTTGAAGATTTGCCCATAATCTTTATTACTGTTCAAGGGGATATTTTGGTATTTAAAAATCTTTTTCCTTTCTAAAAGTAAAAAGGAAAAGAGGAAAAAAAATTGCTAAATCAGAGAACATCTTTAACTGAAGGTGTCCTTATAATACACAGGAAAAAAAGTAATTTGGTAATTCTCAAATGTCTCAAGAAAATGCTAACTTTTTATATTCATAACCTTAAAAACTACTGAAGCAAATTTTTCTGCCTCTCCTTACTCAGCAAGGACTATAAAAACAAGACATATTTAAAATTTCTAGTTTAAAATTGAAATGTTTATAAAACTATTGATTCCAAGCATATGGGAAATCACTCCCCTGCCCTCCCATATCTTTCTATTTGCCTAATTCAAACACAGCTGAACTGATATGCCTTTAGCTTATCAAAAAACAAGTTAGCTTTGGGTTGAGAGCAAGCATGGAAAAAGCTGTAGCTTAATAGGAATGCATGTGAGAACGTGGAGCTTGTTACATGTAAAATGGAGTAATAATGGGAGTTTGAACTCAGAATTAGCCTTAGTAGGTGTTGCCAGCAATTGTAAAAAAGCTACATACCCATAAAATCATAGAATCATAGAAAATTAGGGTTAGAAGGTCAGGAAGTCATCTAGTCCAACCCCCTGCTCAAAGCAGGGCCAACCCCAACTAGATCATCCCAGCCAAGGCTTTATCCAGCCTGGTCTTAAAAATCTCCAAGGATGGAGAGTCTACAGCCTTTCTAGGTAACCTGTTCCAGTGCTTTACTACCCTTCCAGCGAGAAAGTTTTTCCTAATATCTAACCTACACTTCCCTTGCCGCAACTGGAGACCATTGCTCTTTGTTCTGTCATCACCACCACTAAGAACAGTCTAGCTCCATCCTCTTTGGAACCACTCTTCAGGGAGATGAAGGCTGCCATTAAATTTCCCTTCAGTCTTCTCTTCTCCAGGCTAAATAGGCTCAATTCTGTCAGCCTCTCCTCAGAAGTCATGTACCCCAGCCCCCCTAATAATTTTTTGTTGTCCTCTGCTGGACTCTTTCCAATTTGTCCATGTCCTTTCTGTAGTGGGGGGAGGGGGGGGTTGTATGGCTTCACAGCAACTTAAAATCATTTTATAAAACCACTGGAAGCCTGAAATGGATGCATGGACTATTCTCCAAAGAGCTGTTTTGAAACCACACCACTCGTCACTTCAGCTCTCAAATATATTCTGATACTAATTTTGGAGCTAAATCTCCCCCTTCCCCCCCACACACATTTAAATTCTATCCTGACCATCCTTCATAATCTCAAAAAAGAGACACTGCAGCACAGGTAGGGTGACTATAATAATTTAAGGGAAATCTGGGCTGAGGGGTAGCCAGCATGTGCACCCTCCCCTTCCTCCCCCACACCCTGTGGCTCTCAGAAGCGGAGCTGGGCAGTGCAGCATGGATGCACGCACGCACACACTGTCGCTCTCTCTCTCCCCTGCAGCTCCTCTGCACCTCGACTACTGACTCCCCTCACAGCCCAGCAGAGTCTGAACCAGGGAGCAGCCCATTGGCTGGACTCCCTTAAAAAAACTGAAGCAGAAGTCCTGGATTGGCATGGACCCACCCAGACATGCCTGGCTCTTGAGTCAGGAGCTGGGCATGTGCATCTAGGTTCACACCAATTTAGGACTTCTGCTTCAGTTTTCTTCAACAGTCGGGATGCTGAGACAGTCCCGGATTTTGGAGGCTATCCCAGCCAATCTGGGAGATATGGTCACCCTAAGCATAGGGGTAATTTATGTCCTGTCTCCCCTCCCCCCATCCCCTTCTTTGCTACCTCCATGTGCCTTCAAACTCTGACCGTAAAGGTGTTCTTTAGAATAAGATGAGAGTCCAGGCCTCTGCCAACATGTACTAAATTTGGTAGTCATCTTGACAGTGTAGACTTGGATACTCCTCCACTAGGATCTAAGACTCAGATCCTTAAAAGGTACTGCATCATCTAAGGCCCCCTCTTGCATGCTACATTTATACTGAAATTAACATGTTGATTCTGGCATAAATGACAAGGCTGCCATATGTGCACCCAATTTACAGTGCCATAAAGTGGCAAACCAGTTGTAAAAATGTTCTAAAAGAATGCATAACACTAAGGCTGATTTATGGCTTTAAAATAAACATGTAGGGGAGGCTGACAATCAACTGATTGCATGCCCTGGCCCTGAATCTGTGGGCATCCTGCTTTCAACTTTCTAGTGCAAGGGGAAGCCCAGGATCTGATCCCAGACTCCCCTTGCACTAGTAAGCAGAAAGGGAATGTTTTGGATCAGATTCCCAATTCCAAAATCCTGATCCCCTACCCTGCTACCATGCATGTGTGGAGGTGCAATTGTTGGAATTGGGGATAAAGTCTCACAGTACCTTTAAATGAACATATGCCAGGAAATTAGGTTTGAAGTTTCATTGCTTTAAATGAAAGTTGGCTGCACTAGCACCCTGGAGAACCTGGGCCTAAGACCACTTAGACACTTCACACCAGTCTCCAAATAGCCACCAGGTGGTCATGATATTAGACTAGTGCTGAACTAGTCTATGTCATAAAACAGTCTATGTCTTATTCTGAATAATCACTCATACCATCTAGTCTTTCTTGGTATTAACACTTTAATGCATCAACATAGACAAAAGGCCACTTTTTAAAAGTATGTGGCAGAGAGGAACACATGCACATTGGAACTGGAAATGAAGGGGAAGGAAGGGAGAAGGGATAATACTGTCCTTTCTTCATCATCATGGAAAATGTTCTGTTTTTGAATAGCTTACATGACTGAATTTTCTGTAAGCAAAATGAATTATCAGCTCTTTGACTAAACAAAACTTAAAAAGATCTTGACTTTTCCCATGCAGAAAAGGGGGTCTTACCTGCAATCGTTTGGTGGCTTGGCCCAATGACCTTTCCACAGCTTTAATGCCATTTTCCAACCTTAGACTTTGTTGGCCCTGAATGTCAATTTCGCCTTTCACCTTCTCAATCTTTTCTTTGACCTCTTCTTCATTCACTTGGGACTCCTGAACTTCTCGGTGCAACTTCTCTGCCTCAAGGCCACTTTCCATGTTGTAGATTTGAGCCATGCAGTCCTTTAACTTGCTCTCACACTCCAGAATCCTTTGCTTGATCTCCTGGAGTTGTTCCTTCAGCTGCTTTTCATTTTCTTGCTCAATCTGCAGTTCATTTTCCCAGAATTCCTCCTCTTCAATCTCCACTTCATTCCTTTTGATCTTTTGCTCTAGCTTGATAATTTCCTCTTCCAGGCTAGAATTATACTTCTGCTCCCAGTAGCGGATTTCAGCTTCATTTGACTCCAGCTGTTTCTCAATGGATTGAAGTTTCTCATTCTGGAGGTGTATCAGTTTCTTCAACTCATCTGCTGTCGTCTTACAGTTATTGAGCACCTTTTGTTTGAAATCAGATTCTTTACCTTTGCCAAAAATGTCCATTAATCCTTTTGCACCCCCTGTGAAGGTCAAAGATTTCCTTTTGGGCTCTCTTCTTTTTATCAGTTTGTCATTCTGAGGTCTTAGCTTGGCCAATGGAGGTAAGCTTTGCCGATACAAAGTTCTTTCTGGGATTCGAGCAACACTGTCTGAAGTTGGCCTCTCACTGAGAGATGGTCCTGTGCGACGTAATATTAACTGAACATCATTTGCATACTGTCCCCATTTGTTCAATGAAATTATTGGATTTTCATGAGGTGCCAGGTGCCTCTCTGTGTCTCTCCATTTTTCTATCAATGTGTATCTTCCCGTGCGACCTAAATGAAAAGATGGTGAGAACTGTGAAAGCCGTACTACCCAAAGCAACCCAAAAGAGGGAGCTATTAGATTATGTTATCTACTAAGAACCTACAAGAAAGCTGGACAAAGTAAGTAAATCCTAGATTCACAGCACTTAAGGCCGTGACAGACTATTATGATCATCTAGTCTAATCTGCCACATAACACATGCCATAGAACCTTATCCAGGAATTCCTGGATAAAGTCCAGCATCCCAAATCTGATATCAGAAGCTCCGGTTTTCCACTGATTTTGTGGAATACATGCTAAAAGTAGCACATAGGAGACACGCATACAATTCTGGTTTAAGGACTGACACTGAATTTTTATATGTAAAATGCTTTGAAAATTCAATGATGAACTTGATTGCTATAGCACCCATACGGAACAAGGTGCCTGCCAAATACACATAAGAGCAGTCATTAACATACTGGGGTAAACAGTCTTCAAATTAATATGACAGCTGCTTTAGATAGCATTATGATAAGTATTATTATGACTGGTGCCCAGACTATTTCACATCTTTTCATTTACAGACACTGCTGGATTAGTTTTCTCATCGCATACAGAAATGAATGAACAAATGAGTATTGGATTTACTTTGAATTTGTGACTTAAAAATTTAACAACACACAGAAACTGCAAAAAAAGAAACATTTTTTTACCTTTGATTCCAATGTATCAAGTCACAGAGGTAAAATTATAACTATGGCCTACAAACACTGATTTCTAGAAAGGTGGGAGATATATAGAGATAAGAAAGTGAGAACTTGGAGTCTCAAACAACTTGCAAGTGTAGTTTGTATCATCACCTATATAAACTGCAGCATTTTTTCTCTGTCAAAGAAATGTAATTTATCAGGTAAAGGACAGTGGTAATGAGTGGTATCATCAAAACTGTAAACAGTAATTAAGGCCTCAATTAGCTATAAAATATTGAACACAGCACAGGTCTATGATGACTGCTAAGCCACAGTCAGTACTGTATTAACCAGTCTGATGATAATCATGTTCAGACATAACGTTTTCTGGGATAGAAAAAAAACAGGACAGCCCAATGGAGGGCGTCGAGTATCGCTGCCTGCCACAGACAAATGACATAAAAAATATACCCCCTTCTTATCATGGTACCAATTATTATGAAAGATCTTTGATACTGTGAATAGTTTTAGTGACTGCTGTGGTGTTCTCTGCAGAACACAGCAGGGCAGCTGGGAGCCTAATGCTATATGGTTTATTTTGCAACCTCCCCTCTCTCTCTTCCCCTCCCCCCAAGTACAGACGATAATAAATTATGTTTTATATACCACAACATTAACCCTTATGTGTTTAATCACACTTTAAAGGTCATCATAAAAGACTTCTTCATCCTCTTTACCTTCAATTTTTAAATAACCCTCCTTTTATTTGAGCTATGACAAGCTCCAACAGGTTGGAGAAATCTGCTTCCTAAAAATACTTTGAGAAACTTGCCCTATAAAACTCCTAGCATTATAAAACAAATAAAAGGGCAGATACAGGAAACTGCTGTCAAAAGAAAGATATGCAGTAATTTCGGAATAGCTCCAAAATAAGTATTAACCAGAAAAAATACAGTCACTCTATTAATGCAATCTCTGAATTAATAGTGATGACAAATGAGACAAGAGGCCACAGCGCTGGGTCAAATTTTAGTATTTAAGTGCCTGAAATACAATTGTTCAGGACGGGGGGCAGGAGCTGGGGCCTGTCAGATTTGGAGATTCGGCAGTGGCCAAATCAATTCGGGACAGTGATTTGAATCACTGAATCGAATCACTGTCCTGCAAATCGGCCGAATCCGAATCCAAAGTGAATACTAGCTGCTTCGCATAGGCCTACTGACAGGTGTATTCACTCAAGACATTTTTAGGAGAGACAAGCATTAAGGGCCATTGTAGATCAAATATATGACCTCTCTCAGCCTGTCCTTGTCATACCAACCTTGGAAAGAGCTTTAGGGAAAATAGCTCCTGCATCTGGAACTTCTCCATTTTCATTTTGTGTACTCCTAGTTCATAATGCCTAGGAACTAAAAAGATAGATGGAGATTGACTAGAAGACAGAAACCTTGGAATGACTAGTCTCATACTTAACTGGATTTTTTTTTGGGGGGGGGTGATAT